CCCCAAAACCCCAAAACCCCAAAACCCCATATTCTTAAAAATCGTTGAATTATATTTAAAAATGGAAGATTGGGCTAAAGGCTTTAAGTCTTATTCTTTGAAAGAACTAAAATTTGATAAACAGAGTTGAGTCTCAAAGAGTTTTGGGGAATACTCATACCAAAATTATAAAAGAAATATAATCAAAGATGATGAAGGAGTTAAGGCAAACACTTTGTATTCTAAAGCAGCAACTTCTTCGTTTCCATCGAAGAAATTGGTTATGAAATCAAGATATTCCAAGAATATGTATCGAGTCCAAAGAAGTTTCAGGATGAGTGGAAATTTTGGCGGAGGTGATGAACTAGATCAATCATGTAAATGTCTATATAATCTATAGGCTACTGAGACACTAATTCCAATGAAGAAATGACTACGCAAAAGGTATCTAACCCAATCTCACTTGTCTAGAACTACTTCAAACCATTCGGCATGAGAAATGTTTAAAAATTCCAAAATTTTCGGTACTTCCTATTTCACCCCTTAGACCCTATAAAGCCCAAATACACCTCCAATCCCCACCCTCCTCTCACTCATTCCAGTAACCCCTCTCCCTCATCCCTAGGCTCCCTCTCCCACCCAAAATCGCGCTCAAAAGCTCTTCTCCCCCTCAAAATCCACACACTTCCACACAAAAATCCCAAAATGCCCAAACCCCAGCACAAAAATTCCCAAAACCTACAATCCCGTTTACAGTCCAGTCTAAAACATCAAATAGACGTTTACATAAAATAATGCGAAAATTAAGGTGACACGAGGAGGGGATTTTGACACTGAGAAAGAAGAAGAGAAGGCTCTAAAGCAGCCAATCTTTGAGGTGGCTACGAGAGCGAAGATACAGAAGAACAAACAAGAGAGCGGATGGCTGAAAGGAGTAGAAAAGAAGGGCATTAAGTAGGTTCTAGGTAATTTTTTAGGGATTGGAATGAGTACACTGACAGATATAAGGAGAATCCTAAGTATATGAGTACTGGATTTACTGAGATTTTGGGGATTGATAATAGTTAACATAGGGTTTGAGAAATATTATTAGAAGTTTGATCAGAGATATACATTACACAAATTTTGGGTTCTCAGGATTTAGAATTAGGATTAATATGATTTGAAGTAGATATTAGTATTCTTGCACAGTTCAGGATAATTTGAAGAGCTGTTTAGGACGGATCAACTTTGATTTTATTTTATCATAGAATAAGTAAAGATCATCTTGTTCCCATCTGTATGTAATAATTAAACTTAAAATATCAAATTTATCGCATCATTAACAATTTCACTCCAAATCAAAGACCCCTTCTTAACCCTCCCATCACTCACAGAATACACAAAACTACTTCAGCCAAGTCATAACTCCAAATCTCCCCAAAAAGGTACTCTCCCCCAATTACCCCTTCAGAACCCCCCTCTCGCCAGCCAGGTCACTTCTCCGTATCCATAACCCAAAAACCTACTCCAAAACCCCACCTCACACTTCTGAGCCAACCTTACCTAAAACCCCCAAAAATTTAAATCTCACTAAAAATTCCCAGTCAAATCTCAAAATTTTCAGAATTTTCTTAAAAACCTCAGCCAGCTGAAGCTGGCTGAGGAGGAAGAAATCTGTAGCTGTAGAGAGATTTTGGAATAGAATTAGAGTTTAGAACAGGAATTTTAGAAGCCCAGTGGAGATTTGGAAAAGTGGTATTATGGGCGGAGAGATGTATAGGAATGGAGATATATTGTAAAAATAAGCATAATTTAGTACACTTTTGATAATTTCTTATATTTGAGAAGGCTAATGGACATAAATTTCATCTTTGATGCCAAAAGTTTCTGTGAATCTTAAAATGTTCCTAGACACTCAATGCTTTCTCAAAAGTTCTTTCATACCAAGGATATGAGGTTGTCATTTCTTATTTAACCTATAATATTATGTGCATAAACATAACGAACCTGAAACGGATAAAAATTAAGTTTCTTTAGAGGAGGCGCACAACTTTATTTTATTAATTTTATTTACCTCTGCTCTTCAAAATTTTCTCATATATGAAGAAGTGAGGTGTATCATAATCTTCAGTAAATCCTCTTTCTTCCTTCCAGATCATGGAACTATCTCTAGATAAGCAGTCACCTCATATTTTTGAGCCAAATTTAACTGTACCCCTGCTGAAGAGTTTTGGATCTCTGGCCTGAAGTTAGACCAGTAGTTTCTCACCTCTAATTTCAAAGATAAGTTCACACAAAAAGGTTTCAATTTGCTATTTAAAGGCATGGCTTTAGTCAGGGATTTATTGTTTATTTACCATTTGAGTATCGTTAAACAAAGATTTCAGAATATTTAAGATTGAGAACAAAACAATTAACCCAATAAGCAGGCTATTTAAGTCCAAAATTCTGGACTAAGCAATTTTAAGCTGTCAGAAAGTTAATTTTTAGAATTTGCTCACTTTTTTAATGATAAGATGTTTTGAGATAAGAATTTTTGCGATGTGAAATTGTAATTCCTTATTGGATTTCAGAAATAATAGCTCAAAATAACTCTCAGAAACAGGATCTTTATTTTTTGCTTAATAATATGACTTTAAAAACATGCTTTAGAAGCTATCTGATAGAACAAGTTTCTATAAGTTAAACTAACATTTCTTGGATTCTCAGAGAATGCTTTCTTAGAGTAAAAATACCCCATTACCTTCCAACAGGTCTGAATAGCATGAGGTTGCAGTTATTGCTGAGAAATCATCATTGAAGTGGTTCAATCCATTTCGTAGATATTGGGGTTTTGGGGTTTTGGGGTTTTGGGGTTTTGGGG